AACTTTTATAAAGAATATCTCTTTGGATTTGAGACTTTAGTCTTTGCAACTTTACAGATCTTCTTTATGCACCAAGAGCTTGTAACAATTGAAATCGCATCATATGACCCCTTTAAAATATATTTAAATGTCATTCTGAATAGCACACTAAAGTTAAATTACCTTATAATAAAATTATAATCAAGTACTTAAGTATGTTAGTCAATACATCAACATAAGTATGCTTCCTTAATAATCAACAAAAGATTATTAAAACATAATGATTTAAAATGTACTTTAAAGTAAACCTTTTAATTTGACAACATTACGAAGAGCACTTTTTGAAGGTCTACTAAGAAACAGCCATCAAAGGGTCTCTTTAAGTTAGTGGCCTTATTTAATTCAGATTATATCATTTGCAAATACAGTTTTGTAAAAAATATACGGTTACACTTTATTTTAAGGTGTCCTTGTTACAGTGTAATTGTACATTTAAGTACTGAGTAATATTAATTAACTACATATATTTACTATATGGTTAGGATTTGGCTTAGGGTTACTTGCATGTAATTATGTATAATTAATTGTTGTTATAATAGTAAGCACATGTAATGTATAACAAGGACACCTTAAAATAAAGTGTTACCAAATATACTTATAAGATTTGAGGTACACATTCAATATAATTAAGCATACTTCTTTTTTCACAAAGGTTATGTAAAATCTCACTCTTACAAAATAGTACTTCATATTAAAAATATAAAAAATACCTTGTCAAACTGGAAAAGGCACCCAGCCATACATAGAAAGACCTATGTTAAAAAATACAGCACTGTACTTGTTTGTAAGATTTACCCTTTCCAACGTAATCTCTTCATATTCGATCTCTCCTTCTGCTCCATTGACCTACAAGACAACACATGCGATGTGAGTCCCTTGAAGACATCAGCTTAAGACATGCATTACACAGTAATAGACATGCAAATATAGCATTGTTTTCCAGCTATTAAAAGAAACCGACTCTTTTTACTGAAAGGTGGAACTTCCATTCCTACAGTTTTGAGCAATGCATTTATTTTCTTTATTTTACAAGTGGTCAAATGCATAACTAGACTTTTACGTTATCTGAAGAAAATATTAAGTGTTGCTTGACTGCTCAAAACTAGGGTGTTGTGAGCTGCAACAGGGGCACTGTGGGTGGCTGCCAAGTAGGGCTGTGCGATTTGGGGGAAAATATCAAATCGCCATGATCCCACTCTGTCTCTCTCCCGCTTTCTGTATTTATTTTTTTTTAATGGTGGGTGTTTACGCAGTTGGCTAGAGCAGTGCTGATTGGGGAGAACGGAGGTGCGCTCACTCTATTGGTTAGTAAGACTGCAACTGCAACTCAAGGCTGGCAGTCATGCATATGCTCTGGAACAGAGTAATATCGCGTCCATATCGCAGGCTTTGCGATTAGGAAATCGCAACGTCTCAAATCGCGATTTCGATTCGATTTCGATTAATCGCACAGCCCTACTGCCAAGGCATTATTATTATCATTGTCTGGGTATTCTTGGTTTGAGGTATCATTCCTGTCTGCACCACTAGTAATTTCTAGATCTAAAGACTAAAATATGCATAATACTTACATACGGTGAGCCATCCAGTGTGTCTGTATTTACCACCACTGGTGGAGAGTTCGCCTGCAGGAGAAAAGAGAGAGGAATGTTCAGCACAGTGCTTATTAGACATAATGTCCGGAACACACCACGGTACTACTTGGACTTAATTTGCTGGACGCAGCATGCATACTGTGCGCAGTAAGCAACTTTTCAGTATGCATACTGAATACCTTGATGACCTACTACCCTACTGTTCAAAAGTTTGGGCTTGTCAAGTCTCTTCTGCTCACCAAGGCTGCATTTATTTGATCGAAATTACAGTACAAACAGTAATATTGTGAAATATTATTACAATTTAAAATAACTGCTTTCTATTTGAATATATAGTAAAATGTAATTTATTTCTGTGATCAAAGCTGAATTTTATTCTAATATGCTGATTTGCAGCTCAAGAAACATTTCTGATTATTATCAATGTTGAAAACAGTTGAGCTGCCCAATATTTTTGTGGACATTAACATTAACATTATATATGTCACTTTTGATCAGTTTAATGCATCCTTGCTAAACAAAATGATTAATTTCTTTCAAGTAAAAGTAAAATAAAAACTCACTGACTCCAAACTATTGAACAGTACTGCACATTTTTATTTCCTTGATCCTTCCTGCTGAAGTAGACATGCAATGTTATGTGACAACAATGTAACATAATACTGTTTGAAATGTACATGTACATTATATAGCAGGCAGTATATTTAAGCAGTAAACCAGTATTTCATTCAAAACAGCCAAGATTTTTACAAGTCTGAAAAGTTTTGCAGGTTTTCCATTGAAATAATGTAAAAGCAAACAGCACATATATCCACTGATAAGCTGTACTACAAACATATTACCCTCTTTTACAACTCACACACACACACTACAAGCAATTTACAGCTGTAACGTCTGCTAGCACCTCTATTGCTTTCCAATAAATGTGATTAGAGACACACACACACACACACAGGTTTGTTTTTGTGAAAAGTGGGGACATCCCATAGGCGTAATGGTTTTTATACTGTACAGACCGTATATTCTATTGCCCTACACCAACCCTACCCCTAAACCTACCCCTCACAGGAAACTTTGTGCTATTGGATAACTTTGATTAACTTTTTTGATCCACTTCAAATGTTGACTACTGTATATTAAAAAAACTGTACTTACAGATAATATATTAAGGACATAAAAGGCCACTTAAATGATTAATTATTCATATTTCCCCATGAGCTGATTCGCTACATAAGTGAACTTAAAGACAGTTCACTTTCATGACAATTTCTTAACACTTAAGTACACTCTTAAAAATTAAGAGACATTTTGTTATGTTTAAATCTTTTTTTTTTTAAGTAAGAGACATTTTAAATAATGTTTTAATAATTTAATTTGATATTACATTTAATATATAAATTTACTAACTTCATTGTTACAAATCTGTAATTACAAATTAGAAATGACATTAAGATTTATTTTAGTTTACCATAAATGCTTGTCAGTTCCTTCAGCAGTGCACTTTAACCATATTTTAAAGACAATAATAGTAATTATAAAATTACATATAAAGATGTCCTACTTAAGTGAGTTAAAATTAACTGTATTTAATATAAATTTTAACTATAATACATTTTCATTTAATTGTAAATAACATGCAATTGCGTGTCTGAAAATATTACATTCAGTTCACACTTAAGTACATTCTTTTAAAGTATATTGTTTCTGTAATAAGTGCTCTTTTTGAAAGTATGCATTTTCACAAGGGTAAACAGCAACGTAATGAATTATCATATGAAATAGAAATAGAAAAGGTACAAAGTAGTGTAGTGCAGTATAAAATACTGTGGTGTATCAGGTAATATTATGGTATTTTGATATATATTATGGTATACTTTTATTAACATATTCATAGGTCATGGTGCTTAAAATGCTTTTAAGGTACTTCAAAGATTACCACAGCATTAAAATCATGGTATATGGTCGAAAAAAAACATTTTATTACAACTAATAGACCCCTGCATAGTTCATATGGTCCGTTTTACAATGTCTGGCTTCAAAAATCTACAAAGCCCTGCACATGACATGCAGAAGAAAGAAAAAGATGGCCACAAATTAAGATTTACTTACCACAACTTATTACTTTGTGGCCACACTTTATTAATTAGTTCCCTCATTTAATAAAATTGTGGCCACGTTATACCCATTTGTTCACTTGTTTTAATAAAGTTAAATAGAGGCAATGGTTTAAAGGAACAGTTCACCCAAAAATGAAAATTTGCTGAACAATGAATGATGGATCTGTTTCAGCTTTTGTCATCTCAAGATGTTAACTGATGGACTGGAGTTGTGTGGATTTCTTGTGGATTATTGTGATGTTTTTATCAGCTGTTTGGACTCTCATTCTGACGGCACCCATTCACTGCAGAGCATCCATTGCTGAGACACTGATGCAATGCTACATTTCTACAAACCTGATGAAGAAACAAACTCATCTACATCTTGGATGGCCTGAGGGTAAATGTTCAGCAAATTTTCATTTTTGGAATGAACAGTTAATTCGTGGACATTTAATTCATTTGTTCCATCCTTTTATCTAAATTGTGGCAATGATTCTAAACTGAGGAAATTGTTAATATAGTTAAAAATGAGGAAAATTACTAAAATGAGGAAAAAAATTAAGTCATGGGAACAAATTCTTAATTCATAACCATTTTTGTTTTATTAGCCATTATGTCATTTGCAGAGCTCCGTACAGAATAGGCAAAATAAAGAGAAAAGTGTTTAGAAGGGAGTTAAAATCCCCAAACATATAACATCATATCCGTCTCTATCAGCAATACTACATGAGCTCTTTTGCGGGCAGAACCTCGTCACCTGAGGGTTCTTGAAATCAGTGGGTAAATATTTTTAAGCTTACTATATCCAACAATATTTTCTTCCTGATAGGTCAGTAATCATGTTGAAAGGTGTGCACTAGTGCATTAGTGTATTAGCAATCACTTATAACCTAAAAAAAACCTAGATTACAGAGGTGGAATGGAAAGTGAGTGAGATTACAGTGATGAGCACTGAGGTGTCAGTTTAATATTAAAGGGTATTTTTAAACTAATTTCTGTGTCAGTAATTTGCTTCAGGAACCTGATGTTACAAGACGTGACCCAACACAGTATCAAATGTTGCCAAATTCAAACACTGAACTTTTCGCCAACCCTCATGAAAAAGACGTACACTTTTTGAACACTTTTAAAAAAGTACTTGACTTTACTGAAAAGTACTTACTGTAAATGCACAATGCATAATGGTTTATATTTATTTATATTAAATGCAATTGTTTGAACTTTAGAGTGCTTTTTTGACCCACTTAAGCAGGACTGAAGTACATCTTTATACGTAATTTCATAATTACTTATATCGTCTTTGAAATATGGTTAAAGTGTATACTAAATAAGTATAAGTGATACTAAAACTAAAATGCACTTTAATTAAATTTCTATTGAAACTTGTATGTCATGTATTTAAATATATTTACAATTACACATTTATGAAGTTGCGATTTAGTACGTTTAAAATATAGAAACTTTAAATGTACTACCAACCCACTAGTTAAAATTATAATATTAAATAATATAAATAAACTATAAAATCATAAGTACTTTACACATGCTTGTTAACACGACATGACAAAAGATTATTAAAACATAATGATTTATAAAGTACTTCAAAGTAACACTTTTAATGTACATTATTACAAATGCAACTTTTTGCTAGTGTACTTAAGTGTTAAGATTAAGAAACATAGTCACGAAAGTGTTTCTCTTTAAGTGGCCTTCAATTCAATTCATTTGTGAGCCTGGAGCACAAAAGCAGTCTTAAGTCGCTGGGATATATTTGTAGCAATAGTCAAAAATACACTGGATGGGTCAAAATTATAGATTTTTCTTTTATGCCAAAAATCATTAGGATATTAAGTAAAGATCATGTTCCATGAAGATATTTTGTAAATTTCCTACTGTAAATATATCAAAACTTCATTTTTGATTAGTAATATGCATTGCTAAGAACTTAATTTGGACAACTTTAAAAGGCGATTTTCTCAATATTTAGATTTTTTTGCACCCTCCAGATTCCAGATTTTCAAATAGTTGTATCTCTGCCAAATATTGTCCTAGCATAACAAACCATACATCAATGGAAAGCGTATTTATTCAGCTTTCAGATGATGCATGCATCTCAATTTCGAAAAATTGACACTTAAGACTGGTTTTGTGGTCCAGGGTCACATATTATATTATCTGCAACTACAGTTTTTTAAAAATATACTTTTAAGATTTTAAGTACACAACAAGTGCACATTCAATACAATTAAGCACACTTGTTTCTCACAAGGGAAGAACTGCATAGGTCCAAAATATGCTAAATTATTATTAACATGACAATGGCTGAAAAATAAAATTTGACCATTTTGCTCTGTAAATGTCTTCAGAATTTAAATATTTTGCACTTATGACCCACCAGTTGAGAAGCACACGACATGCTAATTACCACAGACAGCTATTTTATTGTGTCCTTCAGCGTGTATAAATCAATGGGAATCGCATTTACAGTAAATACACCTACCGGAAAAAGTCTAAAAAAATATGGTCTCAAAAAGTTCAAAAGTATAACCATATTATTATAACACTACATAAGACTGCTTTGATAAAATTAAAAACAGCTAAAAGAGTAAACTCGCTAACTTCCACTTAGTATCCATGCATAACGTAAGGATCTGTAAAGCACTGCTGACATGGTGCAAACACCACCCACAGGAATCATGTTAGTAACACATAACCAGGCATTCATCCACCTGGAAAAGCCGTCCTCAAAGAACACTCATTTACTCAAGAACTAATGTAAGTGCATTAATAAAACATTATCTTCATGTTTTCGCTTTTAAACCTTCTGGATTCTTCAAAATATCTTCTTCTGTGTTCAGCAGAAGAAAGAAACTCACACAGGTTTGGAATGACATGAGGGTTTTTTGGGTCATTTTTGGGTGAACTATCCCT